CCCTTCACCAGCTTTGTTGCCCTCCTCTGCACTCGCTCCAACACCTCGAGATCTCTCCTGTACTGAGGTGCCCAAAACTGAACACAACACTCAAGGTGCGGCCTCCCAACACAAATGTCGTGCGACTACAACGTGCAGGCGAATCCCAGTACAACCACCATGCCCAGTGCTCCCTGCCTGCCCACCGCTCTGGCCGTGGAGCATGGGCTGGAGAAGCCCTTGGTGTTGTGCAGCCTGGCTGGGAGTGGAGAAGGTCAGAGCACAAATGGGTGAAAATAATTCCTCTTTCCAGGAAAATACAGTGTTGGGGTGTAAACTCTCTGTGTCCAGCTTTCAGCAAACCCGCGTGTGGTCTCGCACGGGCTGTGACGCCCAAGAACCACGGCTCCTGCTTGCTAAAGTGTAGAACAACTGATTTATCTGAGGAGACACCGGATAATTTTTAGCGAAGTTGTAGAGAGGGAGGAAAAACAAACCAACCTCTTCTGCGGGCGAAGCCGTGGGCCGGTCCCTGGGTGCCCTCTGCTGCTGCGCTGGCTCCTTTTGCTCACCGTTTTCACTGAAAATGGTTTTAGAGAAGGACTTGTAGCACTTTTTTGAATTTCATAGGGAAGCATTTTTGAAAAAAATAGCATTATCCCCTCTCGGAAAACAATTGTTCTTTCCTACGCCACAACCGTGGGTGTTACTGAAATACACTGGAACTCATGCTGAGATTTTTTTGTTACTCTTTGGGAAGGATTATATTTGGCAACACTCGTACCCGTGTTACTAAGTCGTTTTCTGAAGAACCAAGTTGATTTTTACCCAGTACCCTATTTTTTTCCTCCTCTGATCTCTAGCCTCCGCCAGGATTAACATTCACCAATGAAGTCTAGAGGCCATCAATATGGCAAGAGGTGCTTTGTGTATCTGAATATAAATATATAAGTTCAGGAGCAGCCACCGAGTCCCGCAGGTCTCCCGCCACACGTTCAAAAATACCAGTTTTACCCAGCTGATTCCATATGAAGTCTTTCAGAAAGAAAGAACTGCAAAGCGTATTTTATGATTTTAATGCTTTTTTTTTAATTGCAGTAACTTCCCAATTACTCACAAGTTTAATATCTTTCAAACATCTATGCTAGTAAAGTAGAAATTAGTATTGATAGTTTATTCTACACCCTTCCAGGAGTGAAAACCTCCTGAGGTCAGCGGAAAGAAGCGCAGAGACTGCGGTGGGTTTTGAATTGGGTGCAGACAGCAGAAGCTTACTTAGCGACCTGAAAGAACTCACGCACATCAGTCAGTCCCCACAACATTTTTCCAGGAAAATCTGATTAAACATGAATAAAGTGAACTTTGCTACTTAGTAGACAAAGGACGCTGGACAACAAAAATAAAACCAAACAAAAAAAAAATATATATATGAAGCAACCTAAGCTGAAGTAGGACAAGGTAATCGAGTTAGTCCTTTCCTCCAGGGGCTTCGGCACCTTCGGGGTGTGGAGAAGCACAATGTCCTTGCTTGAAGAAAACACGAGTTACTCCTTAGCAAACATACGTGGGGTGGTCAGTAACCCCGAAATTTCAGGGTTATGATAATCCTTAAAATAAATGAATGCTGTGTTGTGCTCAGAGGTAACGTTTGTAAGGTCAGGAAGGCACCTTCGCAGCCAAGATTTATTTCTGATCGCTGATGGTCAAAGTTTCATTTTACGGGTTTTTTTTTCTTGCCCTGCTCGCACTAGACAGATGCAAACTGACACAGTTTAACAGCTTTTAGTCTGGGTCCTGGCAGGATTAGAGGAGTAAGTGATTAAGGGAGATGCTTCCAGAAAGATAAACCCCCATCATCGTAAGCGAGCCGTCTAAATGGTTTTTGTTGCCTTTTCAAAATTTCCATCACACGAACTGGTCGTGCTTCTTTATTTTTTTGCTTTTCTCTTCAACGTCTTTCAGCACTTCTTGCAGCCTCTTCGCGTTCTGCGTCAAGAAAGCGAAACTTTCTTTGAAGCTGCTGGTGCCGTGCTCCCGACAGATGTTCTCCAGCCCATCGAACCACTGCACGATCTTCTCCAGCTCGGCCTGGACACCCTTCTTTTCCTCCAGTTCCGCCCGCAGCGCCTGCCCTGCCGCCACCTCAGCCCTGCACTGCTGCTGCAGCTGGTGGATCTCGTCCTGGAGCGCCTGGAACTGCTCTTGGCTGTAGGGGTGCTGCTCGTGGGCCTTGTCCTCGGGGAGCAGCACGTTCCTGGGGATGTTCAGCACCAGCTGCAGGAGCACTTCTTCCATCTTGCCGAAGAGCTGGTCAAAGTGCTCCTTCAGGAAGAGGAGGAATTTCTCCGTGCTCTTCCGGATTTGGAGGGGGCCGATTTTGGAGTCGGGAAAGCCGCTCAGCTTCTTCAGGATGACGCTCTCGACCACCAGCATCATCTCGAAGAGGTAATCCTGGAAGGCGATGTAGATGCGCAGCAGGCAC